TGTGCCAGGTCACAGCCATCAGACTTACATAACACAACAAAAAAAGGACTGAGCACTGTTTACCCAGCAGCCCAATATGTGTACAATAAATGTTGAACTCTGGGCTGCCACACCTTCCATGGATTTGTATTGTAATGTGACAGGTGAGGCAGTGAAACTAGCTTGAGTCAAACCAAAGAGAGCTGGCTGTTCAGGAAACAACAGCTTTCTGTTTGGGAACCATATTGTTGATGGTCCCCATTGCCTCCAATATTATGGAAAAAAATATGGCGGTAGTCAATTGGGACCATTAAACTGTTTGGTTACCCACAATCTTCAAAATATCTTTTATGTTCCACAGAATGAAACTCATACAAGTTTAAAACAATTCAAGGTTGAGTAAATAAAATTTTCATTTTTGGCTGAACTACATATCCATATATATATATATATATATATATATATAGTAACACTTTAGTATAGGGACCAATTCTCACTATTTATTAGTTGCTTATCTCGTAGAAACCATTGGTCTGTACAATCTGTACGATCTACTTACTGTAGGCTTATTATGCTTTTGGGAAACATAGCCCTGTGTGACTTTCTTTCTTAGAGGTTTGGTAGAATGTCCTAGCTGCTGTTTTCCAATATATAAAAGTGGACAGGGACGAGGAACATATGTCGTCACCATTCACTTTCAAATGGAAAAGAGCAGCTTGGACATTTTCCTAGATTACTCCTTTTGTGTTGGGGAAAAAGGGGAAAAGAAAGACATACAGGTTTGATACAATGAGGGTAAGTACATTATGACAGAATTTAAATTTTTGTGTGAACCACTCTTTAAAAAAAAAAAAGGAAAACCAAATTTGCTCTCCATTCAATCATTGTTGACTAGGAAAAACAACTACTATATAAAGATATTTTTCCCAAAATATTCTGTCCTATGAGTCAAACTGCAGTTATAATAGGAGAAATATGTGCCAGGTCACAGCCATCAGACTTACATAACACAACAAAAAAAGGACTGAGCACTGTTTACCCAGCAGCCCAATATGTGTACAATAAATGTTGAACTCTGGGCTGCCACACCTTCCATGGATTTGTATTGTAATGTGACAGGTGAGGCAGTGAAACTAGCTTGAGTCAAACCAAAGAGAGCTGGCTGTTCAGGAAACAACAGCTTTCTGTTTGGGAACCATATTGTTGATGGTCCCCATTGCCTCCAATATTATGGAAAAAAATATGGCGGTAGTCAATTGGGACCATTAAACTGTTTGGTTACCCACAATCTTCAAAATATCTTTTATGTTCCACAGAATGAAACTCATACAAGTTTAAAACAATTCAAGGTTGAGTAAATAAAATTTTCATTTTTGGCTGAACTACATATCCATATATATATATATATATATATATATATAGTAACACTTTAGTATAGGGACCAATTCTCACTATTTATTAGTTGCTTATCAGCATGCCTATTATTAACATATTGCCTGTTTATTAGTACTTATAAAGCACATATTTTGTATGACCATATTCTACATCCCTAATCCTACCCAATATGTGTGTGTGTGTGTGTGTGTGTGTGTGCCTCTGTGTGTGTGCCTCTGTGTGTGTGTGTGTGTGTGTGTGTGCATGTACTTCTGTATACCTGAGATCACTAAAACACCAGTCCAGAATCCAGACTTAAAGGGGTCATATGATGCAATTTCAAGTTTTCCTTTCTCTTTGGAGTGTTACAAGCTCTTGGTGCATAAAGAAGATATGTAAAGTTGCAAAGACTAAAGTCTCAAATCCAAAGAGATATTCTTTATAAAAGAGTCAGCCACACCTACCTAAAACG